AAATTTATTTGAAGTCTTTTAACTAAGAGTACGAATAATATAAATTAATTAAATATTAAAATTAATTATTAAAAATATTAATATAATATATGTTTCATATAATATAAAATATCATTATTTTTTTGTTTAAATTATATTCAATGATAAAAATCATATAATGCGAAAATCATAAAAATATCTTATCATATAACGTGATGATAAGAGACTAGAAAATATTTTTAACAATAAAAGAAACACTATCAAATAGAAAAGATAATGAAAATAAGAAACACATAATCTCACATTTTAAGAAAGGCAATGAATGGAATGTTTTATAGAACGATATGTTCGATAAGTCAAAGAAAAGTTATATTATACGGATATGATACCCAATGATGTATGTAACTACTTCAAATACATTAAGTCATTTTTATTGGATAAATAGTATTTTCTTTCAGCTGTTAATGATTTTGTGATTGCGATTATGTGGAAGATCAAGATTGAAAAAGTTTTCATGAGGCTCGTTGGTCTAGGGGTATGATTCTCGCTTCGGGTGCGAGAGGTCCCGGGTTCAAATCCCGGACGAGCCCACAATTCTTTCTTTTTGCACTTTATTATTATATGCACGTTGAAAGTCAATGATATTTATGCGAATTGCTTCGAATTATAATATCAGAAAGAAAAAATTGTTGAACAGAGAATAGATAGTTATATTAAGAATAATTACGGAGAAAAGCTATATTAAAATTAGTTATTATTAAAAAATATTGTATTTGACAAATTTTTTAATGGCACATATTAGTCATAACATTGATGCATAAATCCTATATTACTAATTAAATAGGAGAACAATAAGTAGAGATCAGAAGTCTTAAAGATTCCTCAAAATTATGACGTTACAAAACAATCTAATTTTTAAATAGTATTCAGCGATCAACAAAACACGGAAAAATAATTATTTTCGCTCTCGTGCATTTCTTTGTCTAATATTGTAATTACTTTTGTGTTTCAGCATTGCTAATATATTTGCATTTTAAATATGCATTCTAAATGTAAATGCGAACGTCATTATGTCTTTTAAATAATGCGTACCGGAAACATCATTCTGATACTCAAATGTCACGAATATATTTGAGTATCTATGAACATGCGTTGACAAACTTGACCGTGAAGTATGTTGTACTTTCCTTAATCGTCAATGTATAATTTTTGAGATACAAGTAATAAAATATTTTACTATTTATGACTTAAAAACTATAGAGACTACCGATTAAATTATAATAAGGAAAAGATAACACTAGTTAAAAAAATGTATTTTTTTTAAATTATTTTGAACTAGACAAAGTGTTTCTTAAATTTTTGGATGCTAAAAACGATGCCGCAAGTTAAATTTCATTAGCACATTAAATTCCTAAAGCAATTGAGGTTTAATATGCAAAAAAATAACTTTTTCGTGACATATTTTTATAAAAAAAGTTAACTTTATGTTAAAATTTTGATCAGAGATCATGAATGTATTGTTTATCTCCCATAAAATGTACTTATAATTTTTTTTAATTTCAATGTCTTACTTTTTAGTTTTTAGCCATGTTATGAACGATTCAATACAAAATTTTTCCAAGATAATAAATTTTCGCCTATGAATAGAATCACTCATAATTAGTTTGTGATTATTGATACATAGTGTAATTTTTTATCGTTATAGATATCATTAAATATACATGTATCAGCTAGCATGTATTTGAAATATTTTTATTTAAAACACATTATTTGCAATACAAGCGTATTTTATATGTTTTATTTTAGCGGATTACATAAAAGTACATATTTTATATTTAAAATTGAAATATTGAAAGCTTTTTGTATTTTGTAATTTAAATAGTAAGGTTGATTATTATTGTTAGTATTTGAAATACAAAATACTTTCAATCTTGTGTTATTAATATTGAAATATAAAATACAAAATACTTTTATATGCTCCCATGAAATATAAAATACAAAATATTTGCATATACTCCGAACAAACACAAAATACAAAATATAATTATCTTACAAATACTGTTTTTCAAATAAAATTTTAGCCCTGCATGTATGTATTGTATATACATATCGCTGATAAATAAAGTCACTTACAATTATTAGTTTGTGACCATTACATAGTGTAATTTATCCTCATAAATACCGTTGAATATGCATATGTATATAATACATATGTATACAAAGTCTCATTTTAATTCTCTACGTCGAATATTTAAAAAACGGATTTCTAGAAAAAAAATGTTTCAAATAAAAGTTGTATTTGTGAATATTGATAATTATAAATTAGAAATTGTATATGACTTCATCGTTATAAGCGGAAAATTTTTACTATCTTAAAAAAGTCTTGTATTTAAATCCTTCATAATATAACTAAAAAAAAAATATATTAAAATAAAGAAAAATACATTTTATAAAGAATAAACAATATATTTAAGACTTTTAATTCGATTTTTAAGATAATGAATACCTATTTTTATATACAAAAAAATGTCAAATCGTTAACAAAATTATCAAAAAAATTTTGGACAATAAACCTTAACTATCTTAGAAAACTTAACGTGCTGGAATTTTTTGGCTTGCAGAATTGTTTTTAGTATTTCCAAATATATATAAAACTAGTCCAAAGTTTGAAGTAATTTTTTATTATAAATTAGTGCAATTAATACCCTTCCCTTGATATATTGTATTAATTATAATATATTTATTAATTTCAATATATTTATAAAACGCAGTTTAGCATGTTATAAAGCACTGTTATTAATGATATGATATACGCTCGATAAAAAACTAATACTGTTAATTAATTATTTAGTTTATTTTAGAAAAAAAACACTAATTTTTGCAGGATAAATTCTCTATAAATATATAAAATTTATAAATGTAATATTGTCGAAATAAAATGAAATATAATAGATAATAATAATAAAGTTAATTTTGATAAAATGTTATGTTTTAGTAAAATTGTAGTAAAATGCATGTAATGACGTAGAATACATCAGGATCAGAAACAAACGCAAATTATTTTTAAGAATGTTTAGTATCTATTTTTAAAATATTAAGAATTTAACAAAAATTTCACTGATTGTTCTATTATTATCTTTGAGCATGTATATAAAATTTAAGAACAAATTTTTTTAATCGTATTTTAAAAGTTATATAATTTTTTGTTTGCTATTAAAATTTTTAAATATTATTAAGCGGTAACTGATATTGTTTTAATTAGCTGATGTAAGCTATCTTTGATTGATATTATTTACTTTGATTGATTATTCAGTTAAATACTTTTAATTAATATTACAAAACTGATTATTCAGTTAGATACTTTTAATTAATATTACAAAACATTTTTATATTTTAACAGATGTTCTAAAAAATTTTCCTCATCTTACATAAAATTTTAAATACGTTGCGAATAAATTTTCAATCTTATTAGTTAAATATAAGAATGTTTATTACAATGCGTATAATATATATGTATACATACAATAATCATAAAATTAAAATTATACTTTGATTTTTTAATTTTTTTCTCATTTATTACAACATAATTCGAAAGTTGTCATTTTTTAATTACTTGCAAAAAAGAATGAAAACAGAAAGAAAAATATACAAGGTTACAATAATTTTTTGAATTATAAGCTAACTTTAAATGCTTATAAATAAAAAACCATTTTACTTTTAGAGTCTATTGTTATTTCTGGATTCTTTTGAACATTCTAAGACGAAAATCCTCATACAAAAATATCGAGGCTATAATAGTTTTCGAATTACACACTATCTTTAACTAATTATAATTCAAAAACTATTGTAGCCTCGATATTTTTGTATTAAAATTTTTGTCTCAAAATTACCTTAAGAATATGTCCTTAAGAGAAAATTTGGTAGTGAAACACCCTGTCTACTTTAAAAAGTACATACTTCTATTTCTTCACAATTTATTATTACATCAAAATTACATTTCAAAATTAATATTACAAAATTTTAATGTTATTCAAAATATCCAAATATATTTCCTGGAAAATTTCCTTTTCAAGTTGTATATTTGTTATTTGTAATAAATGAGAGATATGTAATCTATCTTTTAATTATATTAATATAATATGTAGTTTTTGAATTATCATAGTAAATTTACGATAGAATTACAGTTAAAAGTTGAAACAGTAAGTAATAATTGGATTATATATTACAAAATAGTAATAGGATAATAATTGTTGGACAAAAGTCCAATTTGAACTGTAGAATACGTCAGAATAAAAAACAAAAACGTAAATTATTTCTGTATGGCTTCTTAATGCTTAATAGATTACGATGAATTAGTTATAAATTGTAAATATTTTCGGCAATAAGTGTCATTCACAAATAAAATTTCAAATCGATAAGACTATAATATATTGCGAATAAATTCTTAGGTGTATGCACAGATGAGAATATTGATTAACTACCTCATATTTTAATCAGCTGTTTTATATACTTTTATCAAAAATTGTGATAAGATAAAAATAATACAGAGTATATAATACAGGAATCGTGATAAAAATGATTAAATTTTCATTTTTTTTAAATAAGAAAAAATCGAAAAAAAAGGAAAACCATCACCGGTAAGTTCAGCAATTTTACGTTTTATAGAAGAACAACTTCCCCGGCAAAAATTTTTAATGAAAGATTGTGTTTATATTTATAGAGAATTATACAGAGTTTTGTCAATGATGATACTACTGTTTATAAAGAGTTTCATGATGATTACACTGTTTAGCAGCACATTGAAACACTCTTCTTTAGTGACAATAATATTTTATTACAAATACTTAGAAAACTGTAATAGAAACTAGAGACTATGTCATTAACAATTCCATGTTTAAATTTCCATCTCATAAATAATTCAATAAATATTTTAAAGCTCAATGAACATTTACTTAACACTTGAGCAAACTTCTTATATAAACTTTTCAATGAACATACTTATATAAACTTTCAATAAACATATTAGTTTCGTTAAGTTTACGTGTAATCAACTGAAGATATATAAATTATAGAGTTGCTCGAATGGTTCACATTGCACAGTGAAGCAATTCTACTATATAGCAGTCTACTCTTATTGCTTTGGAAAATATAAACAAAAAGGTATAAAAATATATAATCACGAGAAAATACATCGAGATAATACAAGTTAATTTTCGGAAATAAAAGAGTTCTTTCCATGCATCTTCTGGAAATGCAAGAATGTTACAATTTTAAATGTGCTCATATAGCTTAATTTTGTATTGACACATGTCCAATTTATAATAAATCTTCGAATTTATATTAAACATACCTAAATCGTTAATATTTTGTTTTAACAAATATTTAATTACTGGACATAAGAAATTTAATTTTTTTATTAATGCACGCATTTTATTAGCTAATTCTTATTTTCTTGATATGTTTCTTCTCGATTAATTGGATATTTAAATGTTTCATTACAATAAATATAAAATTATATAATTTTACATAAAAAGAATATTTTAAATTAAATAAAAAATATAGACTCTATATAAAAAAACTCGTTATAATGAATGCCAGTAGTATATATTTAATTAATATAACTAAACTGCAAATTTATAAATATAACTATTATGAACTACTATTGCTCTTATGTACTGTCCAATTAGAATTAAAGAATTAAACAACCGTTTAATTAAAAAAAAAAAATCAGTTGAAGCGGAAAAACATTTTCGGAGCATTTAAGAAGAACTGCTTTCTCATTCGGCAAATTTGGTATGATTACGGAGAAAGCAAGTGAAAGTTTTCTGGGTGGCGGTATTTAATGTTAGAGAACGGTACTCGGCTGAAAACACTTCCGAATCATCCATCAGCTAGTTTAGCTCGTACAGATTGATCAGTTAAATTTTTATCGCTATTGTGTCCGACAGCGAGATACAAATCTCGGATCTAAGTGAAAGATTACTACTCTACGATGTTTATAGTGTATACATAGTGAATTTTTCCTGTTCTGTGCAACACGTGTAGCGTAGACCATACAGGTACGACTTCCATAATGAATCGTGAATAGAAATAATACTTAGAAATAAAAAATATTTGTCTTAAAAATAGAAAGAAAAATACAAGATTTTATTGGGAGACTCTCTTGTTTTGTACGCAAAATTTTTTTCTTTACTGTTAAATTCATAACATCAAATTAATTTAAGTTATTTTTAATAATTTTTATAGTTTACCATTATTTCCACTCATATTATGTCGTTAATTTAACTAATTAAAGCAATATGATATAATATCGTTTTTAAGCAATTTAAGAAAATATATAAAGTATACTGACTCAAATTTAATTTATTATTTGTGCATATATTAATATAGAAGTTATTTACTTCAAAACCAAGCAATTTAACTACAAAAATTGATTTACGTTTTGACATACATGGAAGTTAATAATTTTATAGTTTGCTGTTCATGATTAGCTGTTATGCGAGACGCACTGTAAGATGTAAAATATTAAAAAGGTTCGACAACTGTCTTCTGACTGAACTTTATTCAACGATGATACAGGCAAGCTTATAGACTAAATCGGAAATATGTTATTAGCAGCTTACGAAAACAGACTGACTCGATCAGAACTAGAGGGATCTTCACTACGATAAAAAAGGTGGAAATTCTGATAAATTTCAACAATAACGTGACATTTTCGAATACCAAAAATATGCGTGATGGGAATGAAAGAAATTGAGATATGTGAGTGTCGATGATTTATACGAATCCGTTAAGGAATAAGTCATAAGATATTTATAAGAAAGTAGATTTAAAAAAGGACTAAAAACGATAGGTGAAAGCAAATAAGATAAGTAGAAACAAGATTTTTCAGAAATGTTTAGGAAAAAATATGTAGAAAAATTTTATGTTAAAAACGTTACATGGTACGTAACACAGGGTAAATTTATTCAACAGTGATAAATTTATCATTTTTATGTTTAGTAAATTTAGCTATAGTAAGCAAGCCAGTTGGGCTTTAAATGTGAAACTGTACAGTTGTGGCACAAAGACATTATTTTGTATTATTCAATTTTGGTTCGCATTTTTTGAACTTAGTTTTTGTTGCAGACGGTAAATAATTTTTGTAAAATTGGCTTAATTCCCAGAGGTCTTTTCAAATGGATAGTGAACGTGTTAAAAATAACGAAATGTTATTTAATTACAGGATTACCATTGATATTTAACAAAGTTTTGCTATCAAGCATTTCCGCATTAGCTATTTCTAAGTTGAATTAATAAGTATAAAATTTATATAGAGAAGTCAAAATACAATAATCTTGATAATAAAATTATCATTACACTGAGAAAAAAATGTTGTTAATTCAATTAAAGTGTATATTACGGATTATCACTAACATAAGTAATTAAGTCATGTATATTTTGACATAAAGGCATAAATTATTATTTTAATAATCAAGCCTTTATGCCAATAAAAATATACATGAATTTATTACTTATGTTAGTGACAGTCCATAATATAGATTTTAATTGAATCAACAGCATTTTTTTCTCAGTGTATCATAAAATTTATAGCTTTATGTAACGATACAATTATATAAAAATCGTTTGCAGATAGCGATTTGCTACATAAATTTAACTTTAATGGCGTCAAATTCAAAGCCGTATTTCAATCTTCCTTCATTATTTTCATGTTTACGAACATATTGATTAAAACGGATTTTTCAACTCATTGGTTACAGCGCGATTGACGTCGCGTACTCTTGAATTTAGAAAATATGGACACATCGGAATTCATACAATTTGCAAAAGCGACTATAGACTACGTTGCGGATTATACTGATACTGTGAGAAGCAGAAACGTATTGCCGGATGTAGAACCGGGTTATCTTAGTAAGTTACTTCCAAAAGAAGCACCGCAAAAATCCGAAAAATGGCAGGAAGTTCTCAAAGATGTGGAAAAATATATTATGCCAGGGGTAAATTTTTAATTCTTTTTAATTTTTTTTTTATTATAAAATATTATTATATATATCGCATTAAAACTTGCATGTAATAGTAAATTTTAATATTTAATAGAGTTGTATTAAAATTGATAAAAATATAATTCTATCCAGACAAATAAAGAAAAAAAAATTAATTTTCTTTTAAATATATAATTAGAAATAATATACCTATTAAAAGTACTATAAAAATTAGAAAAAAATAATAAAATTTAATAAATAAAGAATAAATACTATTATTTTGTACTATATAGAATATTTTTATTTCTATTGCTTCTTTTGCAATTTGTTTTTCCAATTTATTTTGCGGTATTAAATAAATTTTCTCTAAATTTATAGAAAAAAATCTCTTTATATTTTATATTTTGAAGAAAAAAAGATAAACTTGATCATTTTCAATTTGTGCAGGTGACACATTGGAGCTCGCCGCACTTTCATGCATATTTTCCATCAGGTAATTCTTTTCCATCCCTTGTTGCTGATATTGTGAGCAGCGCGATTGGATGTATCGGTTTCAGTTGGATAGCATCTCCAGCTTGCACCGAGCTCGAAGTCATTACATGCAATTGGCTTGGGCAGATATTAGGACTTCCTAGCGAGTTTTTGTATAGTAGCAACGGAACAGGTGGTGGAATCATCCAGGTAATAGCAATTATACATATGATTACTTATACGTAATGAGATGACAGATTCCGCATTTTTTCAACAAAATGCATAGAATTGCACGAATATTTTTAATCTAATACGAAACTATACATTTTGGAGCTCTCGAAAATTATGGCAAAAATGACCAATAAACGGGACCTCTCACTCAGCGGGAATTATATCTTTAAATCATTGCATTCATTTTGATTAATATACCATAAAAAAGATAATTAACTTTCAACTATTATAAGAAAAAATCTTATTTATATAAGATTCTATTTC